ATAAAACAGTTAAAAAGACTGTTTACCTGAGACGACATTTTTCTTCCATCATACCGAAGGTGAGCCGGTGTGTGAAAAGATCCGTAACAGGTTGAGCAAGACTTGCAAGGAGGTTGCGGGTTTCACCAACAACGACAACCCCCGATCCAATACAATCTAAGAGTCAATAATAAATCATTTTCCAGACAAGGTCGAAATAGGAAGGGTGCAAACAGGATGCTAGGCACAGGAGACAATACCGGGGAGTAGTTGACTTTTGAATAAGCAAGTCAGCCGAAAGGTTCCGGAAGGGGCGGACTGTTTCTCCATGCTTTCAATGTCATCGATATGAAGAAGACACGGCGAGTTAGCCTGCGTTATTGATCATAAAGCACATAATTTAAAATAACCTTCGCCTGATTAAATATTTCTTTCCAGGTTCTCATAGTGGGTGTCAGCATTCCGACAGATACAGAGATAAAGTTCACATGTAAGGTCTGAAATAGAAGATAAACCACCGAATGACAAACCCCTGCTATGGCTTTCACCAAAGTGGTTTTTCCACAGAAAGGCGGGCCATTTATGAGAATAGAGGGCCACACATCAGGTATACCAGTTGGAAACAGGTGACATTTTAAAAGTAGACTGGCTTGACTCTACAAGGTATGACGAAAATATAACTCCGACAAACTCTTAAGTTGTCCGGGATGGTCGACGATATATCTGACATTGAAAGAGAAGGGATCGAACAAGATATGTTTGCTAAAAGATAAGAGCATAAAATATGCATACAGGTAGCTGGAGTAAGTTTGAGCTTTTTAGGAGTTGGACTCTCATCTAGGTTATCAATCGAGTCGGAATCCCCGAGAGGGCGCTTGGATTCCTCGGGCGAATTCACGGAAGCATCCTCGGCCATCATAAGTTTTGCGTTCGCATATCTTAAAGCTTAAAGGGTTAAGAAGGGCACTGCAAACATTTCAGCGCATCTTTCCGCCAATTTCTTATATTGTCCTTTCGACAATTATTTTTCCCGTCTTTAAGAACGTAGTCCAGGAATTCTTGAAGAGAAGAAGGGTCATCAGCCGTTTGAATAAACTAATGAAAATAACCGATTAAAATAGCATTGATTTACACTTTCCGCGAGCGGAATTAAGAACTTTCTTTGTATCTGCGGCGAATTGTATCCCTCAGAAAAATCCATGTTCCAGCTGTGATTCGAGGGGCTTACATGGACCGAAGCACGTGCATATGCATGAGTAGGATCTCAAGGTTATGGAGAACGCTTGTAAACCCCGAGCACGCAGGTTTCTATTTAAGGCGGTTTCCGTCTGAACAACGTCAGTATACAGTCATCTGACTTCGTCCACTTGCGCCTGTTCGTCCTTGACCGACGCAATTGCACTAGAATCTGCGTTAGTCATTGTTTATATTCACACGGTAATGAGCCGACGGAATGATAGAGAACAATGGTTTATTGAAGGAAACGCAGACGTGGTTATAAAGCATATGGGAGGATAATACACACGAAAGTCAAACGCTCAGGGCAGTTGATCCGAAAAAGATGGAGTTGGAAGTTACTACCGTTAAAAGAAACGCGTCCGTCCTTACTTGCGCTAAATCTAAGACAGAAAAAGGCCCCTTTGTTAATATTTCAATTTGAGCAAGTTTTCTCCCCTTCCTGGACATCCTCCTTAGTCGTAGACCCGACGGGAGCGTCCGAAGGAACGTGTATTGAAAGAAAATCTGTTCTGGACAATATAAGAACTTTAACGGTTTCGTACCACTTCAACAGAAGCGAAATCTAGTTCGTTGCTTAAAGCAAAGAGCTAGAAAAATTTGCTCTGAAGACACTATTGAAGAGGAACTCAAGAAAATCCAGGACCTACTCCGTGAAAACGGATATCCTGAGAGATTTATTACCAAGAATATGGCTGCCAAAGTAATAAAATTCACAACATTCACTGTGTAGAGGAAAACATTATTTGTCAACGTGCCCTTTCGAGGAGACGCGGCAGGTGAGATCCTGAAAAAACGCCTTGACGAGGCCGTGTCACGAACTTTCCCAGCAGCGAGAGTTCAGGTACTATACTCAACTAACCCGGTCTTCCATGGGGAAGGTAAGGACAGCTTACCGACTCAGACCACTTCCATGTGCATCTACTTATTTGCTTGCTCCTGTGGAGCAGGTTATATTGGTCGCACGAGTCGCCGCCTATCCA